TTGTTCACAAGGTTTAGTTCGTTTGTTCACAAGGTTTAGTTCGTTTGTTCACAAGGTTTAGTTCGTTTGTTCACAAGGTTTAGTTCGTTTGTTCAAAAGGTTTAGTTCGTTTGTTCAAAAGGTTTAGTTCGTTTGTTCAAAAGGTTTAGTTCGTTTAACTAAGTGCAGTATGAAATCAAACAGCACCAGCTGAAAATGTAAACAAATCTTGCAATTTTGGTCCCGAATCGAACCGAGTCTACCGGAATATCATGTGTGAATTCGACCTGTTTATCTTTTTTTAACCACCTGATGGGAAATTTCTGCTTCATGTCTTTAAATTTTCCTCTCCATACAACCTATACAGTATCCAGAAGGCCTCTTCATCCTTAAGTATCTACAGTATATTTGTTAAACACGAGTAGTTTCTAATATAGCTCAGTTTTAAATATTCAATCAAATGAACGGCCTCTGATGTAAGCAGATGCCAGTAAATGTGTTAGAGCGGTTGGACAGACCTCAGGACGGTATGTGCCATGTATACAGTGTTGGAGGGGATGTGTGTCATGCTGCAGCCTCACTGAATCACATTGTCTCTCCTCTGCTGCAGGAGATTGGGAGTGTCACCCACACGACCCCACTGGATGGCACGTAAGTCACTGTCTTTCTTCTCTTCTTTTTCTATTAGCGAGCTTTCCCGCAGAAAGTTCAGGATTTATTCTGGTGTTTACAGGGATACGGTGAACGCTTTGTACTTTCGCCTGTACTTAACTCCTTAACTGTAACTCCTGTACTTTTGCCTTTAGTCATCGTTCTGCTCCTGACGTTTGATTGTTACACATTCATATTCCTGAATTGAAAGATTCCTTGAGTTTGAAATAAAGTACGTTTGGTGTTCAAACCAGATCAGAAATGAGTTTCATCACCTGGAGTTTAAACAGCAGGTTTAACGAGTTAAACATTACATTTTTTCAGGTGAATTTGTGCCCAAGTTGTATATTATACTGTTTAGTATACTATGTAAACTTAGGCATCTGTAATGTAATTAAGATTACACANAGTGCATTACTTATTGTTTTCTTTGAAACAATCGTACCTGCTAATTCCAGGTCTTTCTGAAGCTCTCCACAAGTGCTCCTTGGCTCTTGGACAACTCTTCTGATCATTCTTTCCACTCCTCTGTCAGAAATCTTGTGAGGAGCACCTGGTCATGGTCAGTTTATGGAGAAATAATGTTCTTTCCACTTCCGAATTATGGCTCCAACAGTGCTCACTGGAACATTCAGAAGTTTTGAAATTCTTCTGTAACTGATGTCATCATTATGCTTTG